GGGAGCCCGATGCGGGGCTCGATCCCAGGACCCTGGGATCATGACCCAAGCTGAAGGCAGACGCTTAATGACTGAGCCACCCAGGTGCCCCCCAAAAACAGACTCTTAAATACAGAGAACAAACTGGTGGTTGCCAGAGGGGAAGTAGTGGGGGAGGGGTGAAACAGGTAAAGGGGATTAAAAGTACATTTATTTTGATGAGCACTGAGTAATGTATAGAATTACTGAATCATTATATTGTATACCTAAAACTAATATAACACTGTATGCTAATTATACTTGAATTTTAAAAATGGTAAAAAGAAAAAAAGATTAAAAAATTCAACATCTGATTGGCCCTAAAGAAGAAGGAACTCCTGCCACTTATAACAACATGGATGAACCTGGAGGACATTATGCTAAGTGAAATAAGGTGGACAGAGAAAGCCAAGATTGCATGATCTCTCTTACTTGTGGAATCCAAAAGAGTGTAACTCACAGAACTAGTGAGTAGGATGGGAGCTACAAAGAGGGACATGGGAAGTGGCGGTCAAAGTATAAAAATTTTCAGTTATAAGATGAATAAGTTCAGGGGCTCTAATGTATAATATGGTGACTACAGTTAATAGTACTGTACTGTGTACTTGACATTAGCTAAGAGAGTAGATCTCTAGATCTCACCAACACACACACACAACTGTGTGAGGGCATCGCTGTATTAATTAGCTTGACTGTGGTAATCATTTCACAATGTATATTATACCATAACATCGTACATCTAAAACACATACAATTTTTGTCAGACCTCAACAATGCTGGGGAAAAATGAATCTGTTTTCGATACCTTCATACTAAAAGATCTTTTTGAATTTATAACAAAACTAAAAACTATCATAATAAGAATTTTAAAAGTTGAAGCAGATGTCTCTCCCCTCTCTCTAGGAGAGTAAGTCGGGCTGTTCAGAGCTCGAGCTCCACAGCAGTTAGCTGCCAGCTCAGCAACTGGTCAGAGTGGACAGACTGCTTTCCATGCCAGGACAAAAAGGTAAGACATTCGTGACCAGTTTGGGGGCATTTGATATTTGAAAGGTGTACTAGGCATTTAAATGGGGATAAACAGATCTATATATTTAGAGGTCTGGGGAGAAATCAGGTCTAGAAATAGGTATTTGGAAGCCATGGGCACATGGATGGTGGAACTTTTTCTGATTTGGTTTATAAGCCATTATTGGGCGAGTCTGCAAAAGATATGTATGCTATGGCTTGTGTGCAGAGAGGCGGCCATTCAGACATGGGCCCACTGATCCCTGTGGCCTCTCTGGGTCCTGGTCAGTCTGCTGCCCTCCAGTGATGGTCATCGAGAGGGGCTAATGACCTGTGGGGACCTGAGATAAACCAGACAATGTTCCTGAGGATTCTACTTTCATGGCAAAAAGACTGACACACCCAATGAACAGGCATGAGTCTATCTTGCCCACCTACCTGGTTTTGAATAGTCCAAAATGGTCCCTAAAGCCAGTGACATCTCAAGGAAAGAGGGACTTTGGGAGCACTCTGCTCTGCTAGAGAGGAGTATTAAAATCCTGATCTTGTTCAGGATCACTGGCTCATGGTGATGATAAAAGGCAGAATAACTTCTGTTTTATTACTATTTTAAAATCTCTACAGAAAACACATGCCTTTACTGGATGCACCCAGGGTGGGATGGCTCCAGGCTCCCACCTCTCCCAGTTAGACCACTGCCTAGACCATGTGTATTGGCACATTACTGTCAAGTCTAAGCGTTTAAGCTCTGATTCTTCAGTTTAGATTCTGGCTTTGCACCCTATTTGCTGTGTTACTTTGGGCATATAGTTTATCCTCTCTTGCCTCTGATTCCTCATCTATAAATGGAAATAATAGTACTTATAGCATAGAGTTATTATGAGCATTAAATGAGTAAGGTATGCAGAGTGTTTTCATGGCACCTGGCATACAATAAATGTTCAATAAATCTTAGCTGTTTTTATAATTACTATCTGTGTCCTTCTCTCCATTCAACTCCCACTGCCTGAAGCAAGACCTGCTCTTCCCTCACCTGAGCTTCTGCAGAGTTGAACATGCTGGTGGTTCTCCTGCCTCCAGACCCACTCCTCAGTTAGATGCTGGGCTACTCTGTGAATGTTTGATGAGTTGTTCAAAATCAAATGGAATTCAAAATCATTACAGATGGAAACACAATTTGGACCTAGTTTATTCAGCTTCTAAGCCTGAAATTATTTATTCTGCCTCTCCTGTTTCTGAGATATGCCAAAGAATCCTAGACTGCACTGTGCAAAAATATCGAGCTCCCAAAATCTCTTCTTGCTTTGATATCCTATGCTAGTTTTCTGAATCTGCTGTAACAAATTGTCACAAACTGGGTTGCTTAAAACAACAGAAATGTGTTCTCTCACAATTCAGAGGGTATAAGTTTGGCAGGGCCACGCTCCCTCTGGAGGCTCTAGGGAAGAATCTGTTCTTTGCGTCTTCTGGCTTCTGGTGACCATCGGCAATCCCTGACTTATGGCCAGTCTCTGTGCTCCATCTCTGCCTCTGCGGCCACATTACCCCCTCCTCTTCTGTGTGTCTCCTTTGTGTGTCTGTGTTAAACCTCCCTCTGCCTTCCCCTTATAGGGACACTGTGATGACGTTTAGGGCCTACCCAGATAATCCAGTGTAATCTCTTCATTTCAAAAACCTTAATAATATCGGCAAAGACCCTTTTTCCAAATAAGGTAACATTTACAACTTTCAAGGACTAGGACTTGATTTCTTTGCATGGCCATCATTTAATTTATTATACATCCAAAACTATATTTTTTTCCTCATGTGTTACAGTTTAGACAGCAGATGGCACAGGTGAATGGTTTACTATTTAAATCGGAATTGAATTACTCCCTTCATGACTCAAAAACACACGTGATCCTTACAATCATTAAATTCTGTTAATTACTTAAGCGAAAGACTACCCCTAATTTCTTCTTATTAATATGTTTTTCCCCCTCTCAAAATCACCCAAAGATGTGCATTTCTAAAAAGAAACATTATCAACTAGCTAGAAAAGAAAATTATGTCTTAATGATACCAACAGAGGTGCCAGCATGGAGAAGTCCTTACGGGAACATGTGCACCAACCTCTCTGCAGTGCAATGTCTTCATTATTTGATAACAACCCAGAAAATGGGGAGTTGAGGGAATGAACCTCGTGTCTGCACCAGCATTCCAATACAGAAACCACAAGAAGGATGATAATGGCATTTATAGTCACCACTTATTAAATAATTTCTATATACCAGGCACTGTGCTAATGCTTTAATAAATTGTCCTAGTTGACTTTCATAGCCAACTGTAAGTGATAGGTAGGTACCATTGTCCCTTTGGTTGGGTCACCCACAAAGAAAGAGGCACAGCCTAGACTTAACACTTGGTCAGTCTGATTCTAAAATGCCCATGTGCTTGACCACTTCACTCCACTACCTCCCCCTGAACTCTGTGGAGAGTCATAAGCGAGATTAGTGGCCATCGAATCCAATCCCCACTCAGTTATAACTCCTTCTTGAGTGCCCAATATCTGGCTACAAAAATGATGCTGATGTTGGTAACTATTATTAATGAGTGCACTCCAGGAACCAGGCCGAGTGCTGGCTTCTTTACATGTCTTATCACTAATCTTTGCAAGACTCTCAGATCTCTGCTTCTACAGATGAGAAAACTGAGGGTTAGAGATGTTAAGTAATTTACTCAGTGACACACAGACTGTAAGCAGCAGAACTGGCATTCCAACCCAGCTTAAAATGGGATTCAGAATAGTACTTAACCTCCTCAACTTATGAGGATTAAATGAGATAAAGAATGTGAAGTGTCCAGCCATTAGCAAGCACTCAATAAATGGTAGCTACCATCACCATCATATTGGTAACTGCAGGTCTTAAAACTCTGGTGAACATTATGAAGAATGAGAAAACTTGGCTTTACGCTCGTGTGCTGAGCACTCCTTTATGTGCTGCATCTTGGCAAGATGTGGAAAGAGAATGAAAATATCCTAATATTCCTGTATTGATCGTTAATTATAATCTCTTCCCATTGACTTTACAATCTTATTAACTGGGAGGCAGGAAAGGCAAATGGACAGGCTTGCTCTTCACCTTTTTTGCAGACCTCTCTGTCTCTTTACTAATGAGCAGTTGTGGAGGCAGAAGTAGGCCAGAAGAAAGAGAGGGCGAAGCTGCATTGCTCTACACGCACCCACTGGAATCAGCTGGAAAAGACTCCACTGATAATGATGTGGACACCACTTCTGTTCACTGAGCACCAATAATATGCCAGACACAGGGCTGGGTGCTTTCCCCACACATTCTCCCACTCAGTTCTCACAAAACCCTTTCAAAGTGAGAGGTCATCACATCCACTTTGTATATTAGAAAACAGGAACTCAGAAAATGTAAGTGGCTTGCTCACGGTGAGTTGGTAAGTGACTCTGGGATCTGAACCCGGTCGGTCTAAATTCTCATGCTCATGCTCTTGCACCTACAGGACACAGGTGAAAGAATCATTAGTAACTGCCAATTACTGAGGTCATCTCGGTTGACCACCTCATTTTAACAGATTTGGAAACTAAGGCACAAAGTACCAGGCACTAATACTTTATACAGCAAGTAAGAAATAGATTCAGGAATAAACAAACAAACAAACAAACAAAAAGCAGAACCAGACCTATAAGTACAGAGAACAAATTGATAGTTGCCAGAGAGGCGGGGGTGGGGGAGATGGGCAAAATGGGTAAGGGGAATGGGATATACAGGCTTTCAGTTATGGAATAAGTAGACCACGGGGATGGAAAGTACAGCATAGGGATGCAGTCATTGGTACTGTAACAGCACTGTATGGTGATAGATGGGAGCTATGCTCGCGAACATATTATAACATAGAGAAGTTGAATCATTCTGTTGTACAACTGAAATTAATGTACAATTGTGCACCAACTATACAAAGAAAGAAAAGAAAAGAAATGAGAGTTAGGCTAAGAACTCATTTTCCTTATTGCTCAAACCATTGCTTGCCTACTTCATTATGAACAATCTTAAAGGAGGAGCTTGTGGGCTGATCCAAAGCAAGAGGCAGCAGAAAATACGGCGCTGCAAATTCCCTTCTTGGACACTCTGCATGGAGCTCTCCATACGTTTCCTATTATTATCTATTTTATCTCCTCAAGTAGACTCTAAGCTTCTTGAAGGTGGGAACAGAACCTATTTCTCCAAATAGCCTACTGTTCAGCTTCTTCCTTCTACATTAGTGCCCGAAGTGGTATACCATATAGAAAGCAGTATCATGAAACCATAGAGCTCCAAGACTGGTATGCATTTTTATTCCTTCTGTCCTTCTTTGAACAAGTATTTGTTCATGTGCAGTCAAAGCTGGACCCAGGGACTCGGACGACATCTCTATCTCTTGGATGGGCTCTTTCTACATAGTAGGCTAGATGACCACTTGATGCCCACAGTTCCCAGCAACTTCAGCAGAAAAAAATGTCTTTTCCAATAGTTCTGAAAGAAATCTTCAGAGAGAATAATGATTGCCCTAAGGTTGAGTCATGAACCAATCCCTAAACCAATCATTGCAACTTGGCAGATATGGTGCCCGGTTGGCCCAGCCTAGTTCATATCCACGCATTCCCATGACTTGGGGGGTGGGATCTCCTCACCTGAACCATAGAGATATGTCCCAAGGAAAGAGAGGATGACATGACCAGAAGAAATGGTACAGAGGGAAAGCAACAAACATCTTATAAAAGTGCCTCCTGCATAGACCATAGATCAGGTGTCAAATGTATGAAGCCAAATAAGACATGTCATCCTTTCGCCCCTCCTCCCCCTATATGCAAACTGTTCTTTAACTAGTGAGAAAGGCAAATAAATAAGTAGACCAGGGATCACAACCTTATGTGACAAGTGAGAGGAGAGAAGGAGGCACAGGGAACTCTAGAATATGTAGAGGAGGTGCATTATGAATCATGAAAGATGAACGGGTACTAACTGGTTGAAGGTCGGGGGGAGAAGTTCCTTCAAGCAAGGTCTTTCATTTGATCTTTGGAGGCCCTATTCAATATTCCTGCTGGTGACTGTGCCACCTCTGGCTGAACACCACAATTGAGGAACACTTATCCCCTCAAAAGACAGCTTTTTAGGCAGCTCTCAATCATTAGACAGTTAGTCCTTATGTTGAGCTGAGACCTGCCTGCACAAATCTTGTTTGATTGATGGACAATGAATGTGTCTGGTTCAAAATCCAATTTAGTACCGATACCGGAACCTCCTGCAGCCAAACAAGTTTGGGGGAACCATGTGCAGTGGCGATGTCTGGGATCAAGCCAGCTGTCGCAGTCCCACAGCTTGTCTAAGGCAAGCACAGTGTGGACAGGATTTCCAGTGTAAGGAGACAGGTGAGTAGCATTCCAGCGGGATAACAGCTGCACCCCGGCAGACTGAATGTGCAAAACAGTCACCCAGGAGATTGTTAAAGTGCTGACTCCTCAGCCCTTCCCTAGAAGTTGTCCTTCTGTAGGTTTGGGATGGGGCTCAGGAGCCTGCATTTTAAGCCAACCCAGTAGCCCAAGTAATTTTGATGTGAGTTTGAAGGAATATCTGTTGTTTCATTTAGAAAAGGTCCAATCCACTCATTCATCCATTCACTGAATAAACACCAGCTGGGCATGTATGTGCCAACTGCTGAGCAGTGTGCTACCTGCTGGTGACCCCGAGATGAAAAGATAAAGTGCCTGACCTCGAGGTACTCCTTGTCTCTTTGGGAGAGAGACCTATGAGGAGTCGGTGGCCATACCGTGTCACAGCCAGTGTAATGGGCATAGGCCCACGGTCCAATGGCCCTCTCTAGCAGGGGATGCCCAAATCTGTGTTGGGGAGTCAGAACAGGTTTTAAGGTGGCACTTGAGCGGAGACTTAGAAAGTAGCAATGGATTTGCTAGGAGAAAGGATGTGCAAACACACACAGGGACTTAGAGACTGGCAATAGGTGTTGGGAAGAGAGGCAGGGGATGGGTCCAGTAGAGTACTGGGGACCAGACTATGGCATTTGGAAGAATGGGAATGGGAGCCACAGAATGATATAGGGCAGGGGGACGACGTGGCCAAGCTGACATTTAGAAAGATCACAGGAGCTGCCACGTGGAGGAATTTGAGAGGGGAGCCTACTGCAGGGCCTGAGCTGGGGGTGAGGCTCCAGGTGGGAGACAGAAAGGCTGGAAGGAGGGCAGAGGCAGTGAGGATGGAGAGATGATCATGGAGAGGGGTGAGGGGCTGTTTCAGAAGTGGGATGGATTGAGCGACTCTGGATGCAGGTCATGGGGAGAGGGTGGAGCCTGGGAGGCTCTGGAAGCATCCACAGCCTCTTCTCTCTCAGGTCGCTGCCTGAAACGCCACCTTGTGTGTAACGGAGACAGGGATTGTCTTGATGGCTCTGACGAGGATGACTGTGAAGATGTCAGGGTCCCTGAAGATGACTGCAGCCAATATGACCCCATTCCAGGGTCAGAGAATGCAGCCTTGGGGTGAGTCCTGCCCTCGGGCTGTTTGGGAGCAGGGAATGGTTGCTCTTCAATCACGAGTATTATTTTGAGGACAGAAGCGGGTCTTTGTGCAGTGCGTCCAGTGAGGCAGCTCTCACTGTCCCCCTGAGGTGGCATATTGGTCCACTTAGGCTACTATGACAAAATGCCACACACTGGGTGGCTTATAAGCAACAGAAATTTATTTCTCATAGTTCTAGAGGCTGGAAGTCTGAGGTCAAGTTGTTGGTGGGGTTGGCTTCTTCAGAGGCCATTCTCCTTGGCTTGTCAATGGCCTTCCTTCTGTGTGTGTCTGGGTCCTAATCATTTTACATTTTTTAAAGATTTTATTTATTTGAGAGGGAGAGAGCAAGAGAGAGCAGGGGGAGGAGCAGAGGGAGAGAGAGAGAGAGAATCTCAAGCATATTCCTCTCTGAGCACGGAACCCCGTGTGGGGCTCCTTCTCATGACCCTGAAATCAAGACCTGAGCTGAAATCAAGAGTCAGATGCTTAACCGACTGACCACCCAAGCACCCTTCTCCTCCTCCTCCTTCAAGATTGATTTATTTTAGAGAGAGAGAGCGCGGGGGGATGCTTAACCAAATAAACCACCCAAGCGCCCCTCCTCCTCCTCTTCTTCTTCTTCTTAAGGTTTATTTATTTTAGAGAGAGAGTGAGCGAGCGTGTGAGCACGGACAGGGCAGAAGAAGATGGAGAATCCTTAAGCAGACTCCCTGTTGAGGGCAGAGCCCAACATGGGGCTCAATCCCAGGACCCCAAGATCATGACCTCAACCAAAATCCAGAGTCAGCTGCTTAACTCACTGAGCCAACCAGGCACCCCTAATCTCTTCTTATGAGGACACCAGTCATATAGGGTTAGGGCCCACTCTAATGGCCCCATTTTAATTCAATTACCCACATAAAGACCCTCTCACCAAAATACAGTCAAATTCTGAGGTTTTGGGGTCCAGGACTTCAACATCTAAATGTTTAGGGGGACACAATTCAGCCCCTAGTACTAATAAAAGGGGATTTTTTTGACTTTGAAAGTGACTGTGGGATAAACAGAGTAGAAGCATGAAATAGTGAGGTGTTACCTTGAGAAAAAGAATTTCCTCCTTACTGGCAAAAAGATCACAGACCATGACCTTGCTCTCATGTGATTCAAAGGTGCATTTAAATATACTTCCTGAGTGTGCTTTGCCCAAACTGGACAGCAGGTTGGCCCCACCTCCACTCCCAATAGCTGACACTTTGATGGTTTTTCATTCTGCTCAAGATCTCAGAAGTCTTTTTCCTGGTGTCTTTTTTTTTTTAATTTAAGCATGTTCTAGTTTTTAAATTTTTATTTATTGCTATAGAAATAATACCTGTTTGAGGTAAAAACCAAAAGTCTTCCTTCGCCCTCCGCAACCTGCACTCTACCCAGTCACCCCCTTTCACTTCCCTCCCTGGAACTGACCCCTGTCAACAGTTTGGTGTAGGACTTTCAGATCATGTAAACAATGCACTGACAATATACACTGTATGGAAGATATGCCTATATGTATTGTGCATGACGGATATAAGTATATTTTACATAAATGTGATTGTATTACACATATTGTGTCTAACTTGCTTTTTTTTTTACTTAATATATTTTGAAGATTTCCCCCCATATTTTCTATTCTTTTTCTAAGCAACACGGTGTTCTATAACAGGGGTCAGCAAACTATGGCCTAAAGGTCAAATTCGGTCTGTTGCCTGTTTTTGTAATTACAGTTTTATTGGGATGCAGCTTTCACCCCGCAGTGATGGGAGTTGAGTATTTGCAACAAAGACCTATGACCTGTAAAGCCTAACATATTTAATATCTGGCCCTTTATAAAAAAAAGTTGCTGACTCTTCTCCCATAGTATAACTACATGAAAATTTATTTGACTACTTCCTATTGAAAGATAATTAGATTGTTCCCATTTTTTTCCTCTTATAAACAATGCTACAACGAACATCCTTGCACATTATCTTTGTACATGTGAATATTTCTGCATAGATTTCCAAAAAGTGGAATTTCTCTATATCTTTTCACTTTCACTGGGCCTTCTGCAATCAGCTTTTCTAAAGATACATAGGCTTAGTAACCTTTTATGCTTAGAGGTTACAGTATAATCTTAGAACTAATTATTCCTTTGAGTTTTTGTCTGGCCCGCCAGAGAGCCTATATTGATAAGCCAAAGGCAGAAACATGTTCAATGGGCAAAAAGACAGAAAGGTAAGGGGCAAAGTAAAGGGAAGGAACCCAGATTTTGGTGTCAAAAAAACTTAGCTGTGACTATAGGCAAATTACCTAATTTTTCTGAGCTTCAATTTCTGCATTTGCAAGATTGTCATGGGGTTGAAAGTTAATGTATGCTAAATGTCTGGTAGAGTGTGTATTCAATTCACCATAGCTATTACTACATCACTTCCATTAATATGAAGAAAGAGACGGAGAGAAGAGGTGAAGAAGGAAGGTAACATACCTTGAATTTCTACTATATGCCAGGGACTCTATAATTATCCATTTATTCCTTCAAGGCAGGTTTTATTCATAGTTAACCCCCTGCTCATCTTCTGCCTTTGTGCCTTTTCATGGAGGGAATGAGCAAATATGACAAATGCTATGCCAAGGGTAATCACTGAATGCCATGTGAATACAGAGGAAGGAACAACTATCTGTCCAGGATAATCAAAGAAGGTCAGATAGAGGGGGCAATGTCTGAGTGGGGTTTTAAAGGCTGAATAGGAGTTTGAGAGGCAGAGACAAGCAATCATTTTATTATCTATACCATAAGAGCCTGTGATTGTTAGTCCTTGGATCTCTTAGCCAAATCAAAATGCTTTTATTTAACCTTCTCTTTTTTAGAAAATTAAAGCTGTGTTTCTCCTGTGTAACACTGTTTGTGCTTAAATATGGTTCAACCATCTATAGCCTAAAATGCAGCTCCTGGGCAGATAGATGAGAAATGCCCCAGAGGGGGAAGCAAGGGAAAGTATTTCTGGAAGGTACTGGGCTAGGGGAGAGGAAGTATCATTTTTGGAGTGCCTAATATGTGCTACAACTTTTATTTCCATTTTACTTTAATACTCTCATTTAGATGTCACAAAAACCATGAGAAGTAGTTTTATTATGTCCATTCTTCAAATGAGGAAAACGAGCTTCAGAACGCATCTAGAATATGTCCAGATTCACACAGCTAGTACGTGACAGAGCTAGAAATTAAACAGGAGTCTCCATGATTTCTAAATTGCACCCTCTGACATTCCATGCCTCCTTGGAGATAATGGCCTTTCTGAGGATTAGAGTCTCAGCTTAGCACTGAGAGTCAATATGTCCAATCTATTTTTTACCCGCAGAGCCTTTTTGTGAAACAGTACAAACAAAAACAACAACAGTAATGTTTATTCAGTACTTAATATATGCTAAGTACTTTCTGGTTCCTTTCCATGTTGTAAGGCATTTCGCTCTCTGAGGGCAGTAGTATTAACTGCTTTTTACAAATGACTAAACTGAGGCACAGAGAGGTTAAATGATTTGCCCAAGGTCACACAGCTAGGTGTGGCAGAGCTGGGAAATGGGCTCTGTGCTTGGAGTTTTGATAATTGTGCATATTCCTTTGTAACTCACACAACAAATTTTAAGGAGTGCCTTCTCTATGGAAGCACTGTTCTAGGTGCTGATGGAGCTGTCAAGGGGAACCTGGGGGCCTGGCTGAGCCCACTCAGGTTTCCAGTGTTATCCAAAGTGGAGTTTAAGGTACTTTGAGGAACCCTAGAGGTTCACAGAACATAGTTCTAGAAGCTGCTGCTCGGCCCAGCAATAACATCTTCCAGAGGATGCTATTTTTGCCTTTCCAGTGCTCTCTCCCAGAAGGTGCCTGCCTTTTTGATTTAGGTACAATATCCTGACCCAGGAAGAAGCTCAAAGCGTGTACGATGCCAGGTATTATGGGGGCCAGTGTGAGATGGTATACAACGGGGAATGGAGGGAGCTTCGCTATGACCCCGCCTGTGAGCATCTCTACCACGGAGAGGATGAGAAGTACTTCCGGAAACCCTACAACTTCCTCAAGTACCACTTTGAGGTAAGTCTGCACAGGGCGCTCACAGGCCACTGCAGGGTGGGGGTGGGGAGGGAGAGAGGCCTGTTCCTGGAGATGGACTCCTAGCTTTGGAAGATTCTATTTCCTGGAGGGCTTGCTGGTGGCTGAAGGTCCCTTTACATCTGCCCCTATACATGCTTGGTGCTGAAGGGCACTGACAGGCAAGGGCAGGGCCAACGAGAGGCCAACAGAGTGTGACCATCCACCTGCCACATCTTGGCTCCATTCCATAATCAATGAAAACAGATTCGAGGTCCAGTTCTCTGGGCTGCTAGTCAGAAGACCTAGTTCAAGTCGTGCTCTGTTAGACTATAAGTATTTGAGACCTTGAGCAGCTCCCTGCCCCTCCCTGGGCCCAGCTTCCCAGCATGTAAATTGGGGGTTAGGAGAGGAGGTAGCTGGGCAGTTTTCTGAGCCCAAGGCCCCTGTTTCACCAAGAGCAGCTGCCTACTGATCATCTCCTTTCTTGCTGTGTTTCAAAGTTCCAGTATAGTTGGTGCAGAGTTACATTAGTTTCAGGTGTACAAAACACCTCCGCACAACACCCCATGCCCATCGTAAGTGTCCTCTTAATTCTCATCACCTGTTTCACCCATCCTCCCCCACCCCCTCTGGCAACCACCTGCTTGTTCTCCATATTTAAGAATCTTTTTTGGTTTGTCTCTTTCTTCCTCTGTGCATTTGTTTTGTTTCTTAAATTCCACATTATGAGCGAAATCACATGGTGTTTGTCTTTTCTCTGATAACTTTCCTTATTTGTCTTTTCTCTGATAACCTTCCTATCTTGGTTTTCCATATGGGATTTTGTTTACAGAAAGGGTTCTGCAGTTGAGAAGCGCTTGCAGAATGCTGTGGATCCCTAAATTCTCTCCATCTCTAAAATTCTGTGCTCTCCTGGGCACTCGGAGCCTCCCATGGCTCATGACCAGCTCCAGAGCCTACTCCCGACCACTCCTTTCTGTAACCCTCCCCCACTCTGGGTGAGATGTCCACACTGACAGCTTCACCAGATGCTCACCGTGCACCAGATTCCATACTTCCACACAAATCCTCTCATTTGATCCTCACAACAACACAATGAGGTAGATATTATCACTGCCCCATTTTAGATAGGAAAAAGACCAAGAGACTCAGAGGGATAAAGTGTCAGGCCCAAAGGTCTACTGCAGTAGGTGGCAGAGACAAGATTCAAATCCAGATCTAGCTCAACAGAGCCCTGGCTCTACGTCCTTTAGAAGAGAAGACAATTATACACATTATATCCATATAGTCATATGCATTCTATCTTTACAGACAGATGGTAGGATCCAAGGATTCTGAACAATTATTAGTCACATCCCCCCTCCCTCAACTTTCTCAAGAGAAAAATACTGACAATAGGACAAGGCCAGGCTTATGGTTTCCCCCCTCTCCCCCCCAGCTTCCACTGCTGCTATCAGCCTCTGGTAAGCCGAGCTGGAAGACACAGACAACGCCATTTCCCTAACCTTGAGGATGATCTGGCGCTTACGTGTCCAGCAAGATAGACTAGGCTATGCTGTGGCAACAAAGGATTCTGAAATCTCAGTGCTTTAAAGCAACAATGCCCTAAGCTATGCATCCATCCCAAGGTGGAAGGAGCACTCATCATCACAGACACTTGGGACCCAAACGAATGGAGTCTCCATCTCAACACATGCTCCCGTGATTGCCGAGCAAACCACTCGTGTGCTCTTAAGCCTTGTTCTCTCAGCTCAGACCAGGCACAAGACCACGCCTCCATTCAAGCTGGCAGAGACACGCAATGCTACCATGTGCCTGGAATGAAATAACCCTGCATTTGTGGGCAGCACGAGAGCATACCTCTGCCTAGAGCTCCCACCACCTGTTCGGCTTCCTTGCCCCTTTCCTCCCAGATCCACACCCAGATGTGGCTTTCTGGATGTCTCCATTGCAGAGACGGGTGACCTTCTCTACAGGAAGGATAAGTCAGCTGGAAAAAAAATCTGTACTCAGAACAATACAGCATTTTATCAGAATCATGAGTGTGTATATTTAAATAAATATTTTAGCACTGCCACTAAGCAACAACTAAACTAACTGCTGTATTTTCGGTATTTTAGTGAGTGAGCATCAACCTGATGCCTGGAGTAGCCTTTTAAAATAATTATTGATAAGAATCTCCTTTGTGATATTTTACAGAGCAAAGATTTAAATATTAAGCACAAATTGGAATATAACTCTGTGTGCACAAAGCTAACATCTGTTTGCTTCTTTTCAGGCCCTGGCAGATACTAGACTCTCCTCAGAGTTGTACGATGATGCACGTGACCTTCTTTCTAAAGTAAAAAATGACAAGTCTGTGTCAGCCGGAGTAACTGTTGGTGTGGGCCCCGTAAGCAGCCCTGTAACACTGGACGTGGGTGTATCTGGGTCACGAGACTCTTCGTTCTTGAATGAGTTAAACAAGTATAATAAGAAGGTATTAAAGCATAATGCCTGTGTCAAACAGTATTCCATAATCTTAAACTGAACATGCATTACCTTAATTGCATTAAAAAGTACAGTAGTAATTGAACCTGCATTTGCTTGTGTAATTGGAAATGTCTGATCAGTGGTAATCATGTTTGTTTTTCTTATTATGCTTTTGCACACAGAATCATCACAAAGGGAGTAAAATTGAATGATAATAGTAGAACTCTTATCGCCTCACCCTATTCTTTTTCATGGTTACCTGGAGCAAACAGGGAAATACTTAGAATAGTAATGTCTTAAAGAGAAAGCCAGGCCCTGTAAACTAGGTTGGGAAGAATTCGAAAGCAAGCCTTGCTTTTCGGAAAAGATTGGAGGACTGGTATGCTCTGTCAATCATTCATTGATTCATCAAACATTCATCACTAACTTCCTATTAACCTGAGCAACCAGGCAATGCTTCCTTGAGGAAGGGACATCCACCTAAACTGGGTTCTAAAGACTAGTACAGGTTGTCCCGATGAAGGGAGGTGGGAGTCAGCCAAGGGTATTCTAGGCCTGGGAAATAGCAGTATGTGAAGTCCTGGGGATGACAGATGGCCTCACACTAAGGTGGAACTGCAAGGACTTCAACCAGCTGACGCGCAGGGTGGGAAGGGAACGGAGGGAATGATGAGGATGGAGAAATCGCCAGGGGCCAGAGAAAAATTTACTGAATTGTTTCAGAGTTTACCAAAATGCCTCAACAATATTGATGCCAGCACTGTGGGTTTAGCTGGGGCCCAAAAAATTATTCTGGATGATGAAAATACAGTTATAAAAATTAACTTATTCAACAAATATAAATTTCCATTCTGGAGCTTTGCCATCAAGTTAGCTATTGCTCTAAAGGGAAAGAATTGTTCTGAGATCTGGCTATTATATGGTCATGTGCACTTTTCTCGAAGCAGATGGTCTTGTCAAAATTTCACTATCACTTTGGATCAAGGTTTACTTGGAAGTAATGCCCATACACAATCCTCTTCCTCTTAATTTTTTTTTTTTTTTTTTTTTTTGAGAGAGAGGGAGAGCTCAAGAGAGCCTGAGCAAGGAAGGGGCAGAGGGAAAGAGAGAGAATCCTAAGTGGGCTCCACATCCAGCATGGAGCCCGATGTGGGGCTCGGTCTCACAACCCTGAGACCATGACCTGAGCCAAAACCAAGAGTCGGATGCTTAACAGACTAAGCCACCCAGGCACCCCAATCCCATTCCTCTTGAACCAATCCAAAATTATCCCAGTTTTGTCTCTTTTTTATTATCTCAGGAGCTTGCTTTTCTTTATTCCTTAATAGTACAAGATTACCACTAGAACATAAGCTCCATGATGGCAGGGGCCTATCTCATTCAAGATTATGTCCTCTGCTCCTGGCATAATGCAAGTGACTACAGGCTCTTACAGATACTTGTTCAGTAAGTTACATCAATAGGTAAGGTTGGCATTTCATGTCATCAAAAATATTCCTAAGCATAATTGTGAGTGGATACCAAATACTTGTGCAGGAGGTTGCATCATGGAGTGTTGTTATTAGAGCAATTAGTGGAGGTGACAATGGACTGGGAGCAGAACACAGTGAGCAGCACCATGAAACACATTGCAGGAACCAACCCAGATGAGAGTTGAGGAGAAGAGGACCTGGACAGGGGCAGTGGGAAGAGAGATGCAGGCATGAGAGAGGCGGCCAGGCACACACTGGTGTTTCATATATGCCTGTAAAATAGAATAATACAAACGCTCATGTGTTTACATGTAAATATATATATATATTTCCCACAGCTACTAAATACTACCTTTCGCATTATGTCATGTAGTAACGTGCACTCTCTCTCTTCTCTTCCCTTATTCCATGGTGGTGGTTGCTGGCAGAAATATAACTTCCTGAGAATTTTCACAAAGGTGCAGACTGCTCATTTTAAGATGAGGAGGGACAATATTGTGCTGGATGAAGGCATGCTGCAATCATTAATGGAGCTCCCAGAGCAGTACAATTACGGCATGTATGCCAAGTTCATCAATGACTATGGCACTCATTACATAACGTCTGGATCAATGGGTGGCGTTTATGAATATATCCTGGTGCTTGACAGAGAAAAAATGGAATCACTTGGTAAGTAGGACAGAAGCTTTATGCACACAGTAGCCAATGCATACGCCAGGATGTGGTTTGCAGTTTTCTGAGCACTGACTATGAGCCATGTGTGATCTCAGGGGGGACAACCGTGTAAGGTAACATACCTAATACTTGTGTAGGAGGTTGCATAGGTCAGTGCTGTAATTAGAGTGGGGAGACATGTGGAGGTGATAATGGACTGGGGGCGGAACAGGGGGAGGAGCACCAAGAAATATGTTGTAGTAAGCACCGCAGTTCAGAGTAGTAGTATTTACAGGGAACTGAGGTCCAGAAGGGTGAAATGACGTGCTAGGAAGCATCACAAACAGGATTTAAACTCAGACTTGTCTGGCTCCCCCAAACTATGTTTTCTATTACACTACAGTTACCTCTTTGATAATAAACAATATTTGAGATTTTGTTATTTAAAATGTTAAAACTTATAGATTCTTAGTTAATGGAACTGCCATATAATCAGTCCGTGGTGCTAGACACCTGGAGTCATCCAAGATTCCTCCTCCTTTACTCTGTAGATCTCAAAGAACCTTCAGTTCTGGCTCTGGAATGGCCCTCACTCTACCCCTCTCCTCCACCTTCACTCCTACAGTGGTAGGCTGGGTTCCCACCTGTCACTTATCACTGCGTTGGCTCCAAAATCTAGGGGAAGGCTCACCTCTGCAACCCATTCTCAACAACTGCTCCCAGAATGATCTTTCTGCTTTACTGATACAGTGATATCACTTCTTTGCCTAAAATCCTGAATGCTTAAACTCCTTAGCATGGCATCAAGAGCCTTCATGGTCTCACTCAGAATGGTTAGAACAGTGATTCTCGAAGTGTGGATTTTAACTGCAGCATCAGTATCACCTGGGAACCTGTTAGAAATGTAAATTCTCAGGATCCCATCCCAAACCTACTAAATCAGAAACTGGTAAGAGGACCCAGCGGTCTGTGTTTTGACCAGCCCTCCAGGTGATTCTGATGCTTACGACAGTTTGAGAATGACTGACCTAGTCAATGAGTGAGTAGGAGGCTGAGAAATCTAACCATCCTTCAAAGCTAAATTAAACTTCCCAGTTTCAAGAAGTTTCCCTGACTGCACCCATGCAGTCCGTTTCTTTCCTTCAGCACATTCATGTAAATTCCACACTCTTTAATCTTCAAAAGATAATTTTCCAAATTGTAATATTTTTCTCATCTAGATAGCAAGATCTTTGAAAGCAAGAATTATGTCCAACACTTCTTTATCTCTTTAGCACTCAGCACAGCATTAAGTACATAGTGAATGTACAAAACAAGACATGCAGTTTGAAAGGGGGCATTAATTTAGATTCCTGATTAGGGTCATTCATTAATTCATCCATCTATCCATGTATTCATTCTTTTATAATTCAAATATCTCTTGACTCTCTACTATGTATTTGTGCTAGAGATACAATGGTGAGCAAATCTAAATATGGTCCCCACCCTCCTGCAGCAGAGTACTTCCTTCCTAATAGTAGGTCTTTTAAAGTCAATGTATGGATCACAAACAACATCTTAAACAACAACAACAAAGGAGAGACTAGAGAATATCATAGAGGATTACAGGTAGTGAATAGAAGTTATTGCTTCAAGAAATTTTTTCCAGTTATACACGTATGGAGTCATGATACAAAACAAACAGTTTATGACAGGTCAATATAAAAAAGGAGTTTGAAAAACTTAATTCAAGTGGGTTTTTAAAGAATCATTCAAAAATGTAAGGAAGGAAACATGGTTAACATTTGTTGAGGACCTACTAGTTTCCAGGTGCTGTTGCGCACATTCTCATTTTGTTTTCTTGACAACACTTGGAGGTTGGTATTATCCCAGTTTTAGCCCATAAATGCTGAGGCTCCTCAGGGAGGTTAATTACTTTGCCCAGAGCTGCAGGAAGCTGGCGTCAGAGCCCTGGACCTATGGTCTTTCCACCATGTGGTCCTGGGTAGAGCCTTTCATTTGGGCTCTGTCTTTGGTGTTGGATTACTAATTAACTGTCTGGGGTGTCTCATGGCCCCTCCTCTTTAAAATCTGTGAGGCAGAAATGGGCTTCCAATGTGGTTAATATTCAAAAGGAGCCCACCAACAAATTGTCCCAGGGATAATTACCTCAGCTCTGTTTATAGAAAACCATATGTCGATAATAGCACAATTTGCTATTTGTGAAGAGCTGATTTTCTATAAATCCGGAAAGTTAGTGTTGCTTTTCTATAAATATGGAAATGTGCTAATCATCACCTCATCTGCTGGAGACCGCTAATAAATCAGAATTCCATTTACATATTAACCTACAAAGAACAAAAATATCTACCTTCTTTCCCTTTGACAAATAGAATCATGCACACCCTTCTCTCCATATTTGATATTTGTCTAGTTTCTTCTTTGTCTCTGTCATCCTCCACCTCTCTTTCTCTTTGGGCACCTTTCTTTCTCTCTCTCTCTTTCCTCTTTGTTACGGTCTTTTTCTGTGTATCTTTGATCGATGTCAAATAATAATATTCATATTCTATAAAATGCTTGTTCCTAAGAAAGACCCTGTGTGGTGTATGTTCATGTCCTCAAAGAGACGGGCTTGGTGTAGAACGATTTAAGTGAGCACACCGGCTGGTTTGCCCTGGAGGAATCTTTTGTCCTTGGTTTCGCCCCAGAGGACGCACAAGGCTGTTTTCTTCTCACGTACCCTTTAGATAAAATGCTTCTCCCCTCAAAGGCAGCATGAAACCACGCATCAAAAATGAAAGGATGTCTTACAGTTTTCAGTGTATGGTCTTATAAAAGTCCCTGAAATGGTAGGACATTGATGAAAGAAACTGAAGAAGACACAAATAAATGGAAAGATAGTCTGCGCTCACGGATTGGAAGAATATTGTTAAAATGTCCATACTACCTAGAGATACAATGCCATCCCTATCAAAATTCCAACGACATATTTTTCAGAGAACTAGAACAAATGATTCTAAAAATTGTGCAGAACCACAGAAGACCTTGAATGGCCAAAACATTCTTGAGAAAGAACAACAAAGCTGGAGACATCACACTCCCTGGTTTCAAACTATATTACAAAACTATAGTAATAAAAACAGTATGGTATTGGCATAAAAACAGACACACTGATCAACGGAACAGAATAGAAAGCCCAGAAATAAACCCACACATATATGGACAATTAATTCACAGCGGAAGAGGCAAGAATAACCAATGGAGAAAGAAAATTCTCTTTAATAAACACTGTTGGGAAAACTGGACCACTGTTTTATACTATATACAAAAATCAGCTCAAATGGTTTAAAGACTTGAATGTAAGACCTGAACCATAAGACTCCTAGAAGAAAACATAGGCAGGAAGCAATTCGTCCTGGCAATTTTTTTTGGATCTGCCTCCAAAGGCAAGGGAAACAAATACAAAAATAAACAATTGGGACTTGGCCAATCTATAAAGCTTCAGCTCAGTGAAGAAACCATCGACAAAATGAAAAGGTAACCTACTAAATGGGAGAAAATATTTGCAAATGATATATCTGAAAAGGGGTTCATACCCAAAGTATATAAAAAACTGATACCACTTAAGAACAAGAAAATAAAAAATCCAATTAAAAAGTGGGCAGAAAATCTGAAGACATTTTTCTAGAGAAGATGTAGAGATGACCAACAGGCACATGAAAAGATACTTGACATCACTAATTATTAGGGAAATGCAAATCAAAACCACAATGAGATATCACCTTACAGCTGTCAGAATGGCGATTATGAAAAAGACATAAGGGTGCCTCTATCTTTTTTAGTTAGTATTTTCATTTTCTTTGTATAGATACTGAGGCATAACTCTATTTTTTGAGGAACCTCCAGACTGTTTTTGCCTATTTGCCTTGTTTTGGTGAGAACATTTAAATTTTATTCTTTTAGCAAGTTTCAATTATATGATACAGTGCTGTCAACTACAATCCCCATGTTATACATCAGAACTTACTCATCTTATAACTAAAATCTGTACCCTTTCAACACCTCCTCCCTATTTCTCCCACCCTCAGCTCTGGTAATCACTTTTCTGCTCTCAGTTTCTATGATGTTGATTTTTTTTTTTTTTTTTTGGCTCCACCATGCAGTATTTGTCTATGTCTGCCTTCTTTCTTTCTTTTTTCAAAAGATTTTATTTATTTATTTGATAGAGAGACACAGCGAGAGCAGGAACACAAGCAACGGGAGGGGGAGAGGGAGAAGCAGGCTTCCCGCCGAGCAGGGAGCCCGATGTGGGACTCGATCCCAGGACCCTGAGATCATGACCTGAGCTGAAGGCAGATGCTTAACGACTGAGCCACCCAGGCGCCCCTGTCTGCCTTATTTCACTTATCATAATGTCTTCCAGGTTCATCTATGTTGTCACAAATGACAGGATCTCCTTCTTTTTAAAGGCTGGATAATATTCCTTTGGATATCTGTACCACATTTTCTTTATCCATTCATCTGTTGACTTACATTGTTTCCATATTTTGGCTAATCTGAATAATGCTGCTGTGAACATGGGAGTATAGATATATTTTCTAAATAATGATTTCATTTGCTTTGCATGTATTCACAAAAGTCAGATTGCTGGATATATAGGTAGTTCTATTTTTAATTTCTCGCGGCACCTCCATTCTGTTTTCCGTGGTGGCTGTATGAGTTTACATTCCCACCAACAGCACACGGGGGTTCCCTTTATTCCACACCCTCACCTGCATTTGTGGTCACTTATCTTTTTGATAATAGATGTCCTAACAGGTGTGAAGTGATATCTCACTGTGGTTTTGATTTGCATTTCCCTGATGATGAGTGATGTTGAGCATCTTTTCATGCCTTTGGCTGTTTTATGTATCTTCTTACTTAATCTTCCAAAGATCTGTGCAAGAGGAGAGGTTTCCTTACTTCTATAGATGAAGGAAATGAGGCTGTAAACCTCTATCATTAGTAAATGAAAAATACATGAGTTATTTTGAGTT